AGGGCAACAGTGAAAAGATGACTCAGACAGTGTTCGAGATCTTCAACACCCAGCCATGTCCGTAGCCATCCAGGCTATGCTGTCCCTTTATGCCTCTGGCCATACTACTTGCATTGTGGTGGACTCTGACAACGGGGTCACCCACACTGTGCTCATCTACGAGGGCTCCACTCTTCCCCCATAGCATCCTGTGTCTGGACCTGGCTGGCGGGGACCTGATGAAGATCCTGACTGAACGTGACTACAGCTTCACTGCCACAGCCAAGCAGGAAATCATGCGTGGTTTCTAGGAGAAACTGTGCTACAAGAGATGGCCACCACTGCATCTTCCTCCTCTCTGGAGAAGAGCTATAAGCTGCTGAATGGCCAAGTCTCTTTCAGCTTTCCTTCGTGGGTATGGAATCCTGGGATATCCAAGAAACTGTTCTCAATTCCATCATGAAGTGTGACGTCAACATCCAGTAAGGACATTTATGCCAACACAGTGTTGCCTGCTGGCAACATCATGTGCCCTGGTTTTGCAGATAGGATGCAGGCGATCACTGGGCTGGCTCCCAGCACCACGAAGATCAAGGTCATTGCTCCCCCAAGCGCAAATACTCCCTGAGGATTTGCTACTCCATCCTGGCCTCACTGTCAGCCTTCCCGTAGATGTGCATCAGAAAGCAGGAGTATGAAGTGTTTAGATGAGTCCCGCCCTTCCATTGTCTACGACAAATGCTTGTAGACAAACTGTTCGGGAGTGAGATGTTACACCCTTTCTTGAACTAACTTTTGCTAAAACAAAGAAACAAACAAACATGAGACAACATTGACTTGGCTTTATTTTATTATTTTATTTTTTTGGTCTTTTTGAGACAGGGTCTCCCTGTAGCCCCAGCTGACCTGGATTTGCTATGGAGACCAAGTTGGCCTTGAACTCAGAGAGATCCGCCTGCCTCTGCCTCCCGAGTGCTGGGTTTAAAGGCCTGCGCCATCACACCTGGCTATTTTATTATTTTTAATTAAAATTTTTTTGTTCTTTTATTTTGGAGCTTTTGACTCAGGATTTGAAAACTGGACCAGTGAAGGCAATAGCAGTCTGTTAGAGCAAGCATCCCCAAGTTCTACAATGTGGCTACAACTTTGATTGTACATAGTTTTATTTTTATTTTTTTAATAGTCATTCCAAGTATTCCTGATTACAGGAAGGCCCTACCTCTCCCAAAAGTCACCCCTACTTCCAAAAGGAGGATGGCACAGTCCACACCCTGAGTCCACAGCTGAGGAGGTGACAGCATGGCTTTTATGTAAATTATGTACTGCAAGAAAAATTTAAATCTTTTGGCCTAAATACTTTTTTATTTTTGAATGGTTATCCATCATGGTCCCTCTCTTTTTCTCCCCCCAGCTTGAGATGTGGGAAAACTTTTGACCTCCTTGGGAGTGGATTGAGGTGTGAGGCAATCAGGGCTTGCCTGTACACGTACACCAACTTTAAACCAGTTTAATAAAAGTGCACACCTTATTTTAAAATATTCATGTTTGGAGACAGCATGGTAAGTATTCATGAGCCTGAGACATCTGACTGGGACAGAGCTCAGCTGTGCCTTCCGTGCTGACTGGTATTAATTATTCTTTAAAACATTTTTTTTTTTTAGAATTTCATTGCCTCTTACGTAGAGGCTTAGATTTATTTATATTTATTTATTTATTTATTATTTATTTATTTATTTATTTATTTATTTAATGTGCATGAATGTTGTGCCTGCATGTATGTAAGTCACCCATGTCATGCAGTGCCCAGGAAGGCGAGAAGAGGGTGTTGGATTCCCTGGGACTGGAGTTATGGAGAGTTGTTAGCTGCCATGTTGGTGCTGGGAACTGAAACTGAGTCTTCTGCAAGAGTAGCAGATGGCTCATAACCACTGAGCCATCTCTCCAGCCCTTCTTGTCCTCCTCTTTGATTATCATCATTACATATACATACATGCATACATTTATAAATATGCATATATCATGCATAAAGTCCATTTATTGCTGCTCATATGTACCTGTGTTTAGTGCTACCCACTTGGAATTAGATAACCTCTCACAGAACTAGACCCTGGAGAAACTTGATTCTTCCTCCATTGACTATAACTCTTCATCTTGAGGTAGGATCCTGTGACATTTCCCCATTCACCTTTGTATGTCCATTGGTTTTGTTATTATACGCATAGTGTAGAGATTTCATTGGTGTAGCTTCCCTGTCATGTCTGGAATGCCTTAAGTAGCAGCAGGTATTGTGTCCCTCTGGATCTTACATTCTTTCTGCCCTTTCTTCCTTGATGTTCCCCAAACTTTAGGTGTAGTGGTTACATTGTAGATGTGTCACTTAGGACTGGGCAGCTCACAGACACTTATTCTCTGCATTTGACCAGTTGTGGAACTTTGTGATTGTCTTCATGTGTTGCAAAAAGAAGCTTCTTTAATGAGTAGTGAGAGGTACACTTGTCTGTAAACATAAGAATACATATTTAGAGAATAGCAAGAAATTACATTGGTATTTCACATCTAGGGATGTGACAGAAGTAAGTTTTCTCTAGGGTCTATGACCTCTCTAGCCATGTGTACTTGGCTATGTTTATAGTACCATGCATGAGTCCCCTCTCATTGAACAGGCTTAAAGTCCAATTAGACAGCTATTGATTACCCCAGGGAAAAAAAGTCACTATTGCACCAATAGAGATAGTGTGCTGGGGCAGTCATTCTTGTGGTTCATAAGATTTACAGCTGGGTAGGACAATGTCTTCAGCAATAGCTTCTTTTTTTTCCCCCTCTCTGTACATTTTTATTTTATTTTAAAAAAATTTTTATTGATTTTTTTTGTGTATTTCATATAGAAAATCTTTATAACCCATTCCCCTTTGGCACCCTTCCATAACTCCCCCACTGGAGTTCATAATTCTGTCATTTGTGTTAAGGCCTATCATGTAAAGTTAGTGTCCCCAGATGTCCCTCAGTGAAAGATCATCCCGGAGATCTGGGTCTCTCCCTTTAAGAAGATCAACTCTTCCTCACCCAGCAGTAATCAGTTGCCAAGAATGTTTTATCTAAGATTGGGGCCTGTTGCTCATTTCCACAGTTCTGTGTTGGGTTTCTGTCTGCTTAAGTTTGCATAGGTCTTGTGTGTGCTGATACCATTGCTGTATGTTTGTATGAGAGGGGTCCTGGGAGCCTGTAAGACTATTTCCGTATGTAAATGCACCTCCTCCCTGGCTCTTAACAACCTTTCCACCCCCCCCCTTCTGTAATGGTCCCTGAGTCCTGGGTGGGTGGATTTTGATATAGGAGTCCTGTCCAAGGACCCACATTCTACATACAGACTCTTATTCTCTATGTTTTGGCCATTTGTGACCTTTTGCTTTCCTGGCCCTCTGTTGCATGAGGGAGCTTCATTGATGAGAATTGAGAGGTGCATAAGTGTTCTCTTCATCCCTTGTTCTATGTTCCATCAGCCTAAGGTATAGAGATTGCATTCTAGATGTGCCACTTTAGGCTTGGGCAATCACAGGCAATCTCTGTGTGTGACCATTTGTGGAACTCTGTAATTATCTCTGTCTCTTGAAGAAGAAATTTCTTTGATGGATGGTGACTGGGATACTTGTGTATAAGTTTAAGAATCCATATTTTGCACATAGTAAGAAATTGCATTCATCTATGGATACGACAGCCTTGGAATTTTCTCCAAGATCTATGACCTTTCTAGCCATGAGTATTTGGGAGCAATAGGTTCTTACCTTTAATTTTTGGGAGGCAATCAAGGGATGTACAATAGCATGTATTATTTCGGGAGTCTCTTGAACTACCCTGACCAACAACTCAAAGTATTCACTGTTCTTTTCCTTTGTTGCTGGATTTGATTGAGCTAAGTCAGAAAACTATAAACAATTTATTTAGCACTGAGCAAATTTCATCTCCACTGCCTTCCACAGGTTTGTTCGCCTTGCTATGACCTTGAGTAGAAGTTGGGATTCGATGAAACCTTTGATGATTACTTTTTCAAGGAAAAGGTGCAATCACTGTGGCAGGTCAGGTCATTTGAAAGTAGAGGATTTACTAGCTTGTGGTTTATTAAAACAAACATTAACATACCTGGAGCTCTGCTACAAAAATGCACTTTTGTATATAAGCTTAATTGTGATGAACAGAAAACATTTTGATCATGACACTTCATAATGAATTTAAATATCATTAATCTTAGAGGGTGCTGAAAAGTGTCTGCTTCACAAGCCTGATGCTTCCCACAAGCCTGGAATCCTGATTAAATTACTCTTATAATGTCTGTGCACTTACTGTATCCTAAGAACAATTGGAATTGATGATGGGTCTGGAGGCAGATTCACATGGCAGCCTTATTTGTACACTGGCCATGAGCATTTTCTTTGAATTAATCATTGCCTCAGGCATGACAGTTTGAAGAATCTAATCAATTTGTAAACAAATGTACTCGAGTGACAGTAACCTGGTGTAGTACATCTTAAAAAGGGAAAAATGCAGGAAACTCAGTGATGCCATTTCCTTCCAGCTCTGAGACTCATTCTTTCAGGTTTTTGTTTCTGTTTTTAAGTCAAGGTTTCCCTATGTTTCCTCTGTTGGTCTGGACTTTGTAGCCCTGACTGGCCTAGAACTTGTGGCAGTCCTCCTGCTCAGCCTTCTAAGTTTTGGCATTACAAGCACGTGCTAAGACTCTAACCATTCTTTCAGTTCATTAAAGTAAAATAGAACTAATAAACCCAGAATCTCACTTGGCACAGTGAAGATTTTCCCTCAGAATATTAAAGTAGGTGGAAAATACGGTAGTTTTTTAGCTATTGATATATTCTTTCTGTGATACCTTCCTTGAGTACCATTCCACAGATATGTGGATGTTTCTCCAGCAGATTTTATAATTTAACCAGAAACATAAACAAATTTCTGTGAATGCTCACTTGCTATTGTAGTTTAATCTGGGTCCAGTTTTGCTGGGGGAGAGAACACACCAGCATCACGTTAGCAAACTACAGAATCAGGTGCCCAGGGTTTTGCTGGACTCTAACCTAGCCTTGCATCTGGTAGGGAGAGAACACACCAGCATCACGTTAGCAAACTACAGAATCAGGTGCCCAGCCCTACAGCATGCAAAAGACAGCAATGGGTCACCCCTGCCTGGAAGACAGGGCAGGGGTGGTATGTCTTATTTTACAAAGAGGCATCAGTTGCCAAATGATCTAAAGCTTCCTTTGGGGAGGTAGGATTTATTTGTTAGGTTAACACATTTATACATTTA